TTCCTCGAATTCTACATCGATCGACTTAGAATATTTATCAAATAAAGATAAACAAATTAACGATCCTACGATCGTAACTCCATTACGTAATAATAAAGGAGGCTAATAGTGTAGTAACAAATGGTGCAATTATTAAATATAAAAAAAAAAAAGAGAAAAAAAAAGATAGGTGCGCCTTGAAAAAAAAATCGAGACACAAAAAAGCGCGCGGCGTCAATCGTTGTACTTTTCTCTCGGTGATAAGACAACTGCGAAATATTTAATTGAAAAATCTTCTTCGGTGTTACCTGAATCGAGCTTGCTGTCGGGGAAGACCGCAAAACTGATTTGAACCTGAAAAAGTGGTTACAGTAGAATCTCCTCGAACCGTTTATCGAAACGATCAACGGTAAGGGATAAACCGCAGACATCTTTGTTATCTTTGGGGGTAAGGGGGAGGGGCGTTGATCGAGGGCATTATAATGTGACACTTAAATTCAAAAGAATGCAACAAATTTGGAAATTGTCGTCCTTCGATTCTATATATATATATATATGTGTGTGTGTATGCATATGCACGTAATATTTTTGTGTATCTGTGTATGTGTAGTATAATGTCACATCTATAAAAACGTTTTGTTTTTTTTTTGTTGATTTCGTCTTTAGTTCGAGATAAAAATTTCGAACGTTCACAAAACAGAGGGAAATTTTTGTCAAACGAAATGTGGAACATTTGAAATGGTAGAGAATCAATAACAACCTATATGTGCTCTAAGACGAATAACAATAAGAAATTCCACCTGGAGAAAGTAAATTGGTGCAAATTCTAAGTTAAAACATTTCAACTATGCATTCCATACTCATGGGGGGCAGGGGGCGTGCCTAAGAGGTTTCGAACTCTACGGGTATTATAATTCAATAACATGATCGCACTTGTTTATCTATGCAGGAAGAACATATGGATTTGCTAATCAATAATATTGGATAATTACAGGCTGACCGAGAGAGCAATATATATAATAATTTAATATATTAAACACACACTAAAAATAGAGAAATAAAATAGAACATTGACTAAGTCTGATTATCTTCGAAAAAAATTCATACCAAACGAATTCGGTTCTCTGTTTGATCTCGGATGAGATTCTATAGTTCGATGATTCTTAATCCAAGATGTTTGTATCATACTTCTCTGATAAAGTAATATATGATACGCGTGATATACGTATCGTAGTATGAAAAAGAATATCTTTCAACGTTGCCTGATATTATATATTTGTTATATTAAATACCATAAGGTTTTATTTTTTTTTGTTTTTAAATGGATATCACACATATCCCTTCCATTCTCCCTCACCTTCCTTTTTTTTCCGTATCTAGTATCCAAAAATTTCTATCCTACAATAAATGAATGAAATAATTTATTTGAACGTTCTATTCGCATAAGATATTATCCAGCCTCGTTATCTTTTTACATTTTACCCAATTACGTGAGAAGAAAAAATAAAGAGGAAGGCTATATAACAAGGGTCAATATGACGAGATTTCCTACTGTCTTGTTCAAATAATAGAGTAACATTTTCATCCCTTTTCCGTCTCTTCTACGAAAAATAAAATAAACGACTCGTTGAAAGTCCGACTAGAAATGAACAAGTACTTTAAATACGAATACCGAATAAAACCTATCGGCACAGATTACATCATTTTTTCCTATAAAAATTGTCTGTAAATCTCGAAATTTAAAAAAATACACATAACTCTTTTTATTTAATTCTTTTCTAAAAAATATATCTCACAAGTCTAAAATTTAAGTATATGCATGGAGATTAAATGGATGTACCTCAGAAAAAAGATGGAAAATCCTTTTAATTAACAATATTTTTTTATCAAAAAAATGTTACGCGTCTTGTCAGAATTTTTTTGTTACATCAATTTCATTTCCACGGTTTATATTATATCTACATTTTAAATTCGAGAGATATATTTTATGTATAGAAAAAAAATTTAATAAAAAATCGTTGTTTTTCTGAAGACTTATAGAAAATTTTATAGGAAAATTAAATCAGAAAGAAAATTATTTTCGATGCAATAAGTATTTTATACATTGTCTTGTTTAGTTAGTGTAAACATTAGATACCGATTACATACACTTACTACACAATGGGGGGGATTCGTTCAATATTTATAAGATTCATGTTTTTACCTTTTTCAAGATACATTTTTCTTTCTCAAGTACTTTTCCGACAGATCAAAATCGTTCTTTCGCTTTTATTAAGATATACAGGAAATATAGAACGTTTAATTTATACGCGATATAAAAAGATAGAAAAATATGGGACGTTATATACAATTTTTATGAGATGGAATAACTTTTCTTTAAAGTTTTATAACGAAAAAGTTACGATAAATAAATGAGTATACTTATAAGAAGATACATTTCTCTCGATTGTAACGAAGTTATTTTTTAAATTTAATATTTATCTTAAGATCCCTTCTTTTCTCTTAGTTAATCGATAAAGACAAATTTTAATTTAAATAATAATAAAAAAGGTTTCTACAGAGAAAGAACGTATTATTTGAAATACATAAAATTACACCTATCATCTATAATTCCTAAAAATATAATCGTAATATCGAATTCTAAATTTTGTGTGAAAGAAACTAAATGAATAAAACATTGTATGTTCACATTTTAGAAAAATTACAAATAATCAACTTTCTCATAATGGCGATACGAGAAATTCGCAAGAATATAATAACGTAACCATACATTTTATCTTCGCATAAATGCTTCAAAATGATGTATCATGTAAAATACTTCGTCATTGTAAAAATTGATGTGAATTGTAACACAGAATCTTTAACACTAAACGTACCATCGTATGATCGAAAAAAAAAAAAAATATAACTTCTTTTAAATAATGATCATTTGATCAATTACTTTATTACACCGTATAAATAGCTCCACATAAATTGTCAATAAGTTTAGTGTTAAACTTGTATCTCATGCGTTTCTACGGGCATCCTATGCATTTCCATTAACACCGAAAGTACAAAGTATTTAACGATACGAGCCGAAGGGATTAGGATCTGAATTAAGTCAGGAGGAAAATAAATGTAGAGAAAAATAAAAAGAAATAAGAAAGGGGAGAGATAAAATTAATAATGGGAATGGATTTACAAAGGCAGATGTTTTCAGTTTAGAAACTCGTATAAACTTTTATATATATATATAAAAGTAGAGAATTTTTCTTGGAGAATTAATCCTTTTCCCGAAAATATATCGAGTAACTAGTTTATGTTTGAAGTATACGCGAATCCATTCCTTCGATTTATTCTTCAACATAAGACACAATACTGAAAAGTAAACGATGAGAAAATATCGATCGGTAGGAACCGCCTACTATCAGCCCTCGATAGGTATTATATAGAAGAAAATATAAAAAAAAAAAAAAAAGAAGAAAGAAAGAAAGAAAGAAAGAAAAAATATATAAGAAAAAAAAAGAATAAGGAAAATGGAGCAGAAAAAGCGTATCGAGGATTAGCATAGCTTTCCGTGTAACATTAGTTTTAAACTCGGACAAAAAATCGCACTCGACTGAATTTTTGTATCTAATCCGCGCTAATACGTGACTGCCAATGCGGTGTAGATTTGTTCTTGTTATATATAAATATATATATTCGCAAAAAGAATCAATAGAACAATAAAAGATAAAATATAGAATAACGGATACAACGGTTATTGGACGAATAGACGAAGATTTTCACTTAGGATTTTATATATTTTGTGTTTGACGCTGAGCTAGAAAACCATCACCCACCACCATAACTACCACCACTACAACCACCACCACCATCACCACCATCACCATTACCACCATCACCACCATATCGCACCACTTCATAGATTTATATTTCCGTGCTATTTGGTATAAATAAATTCGTTTCTTTTATACTCTAAACGATACATATAAATATATTATATCATGGTTCTACCGAAGCAGTGCTTACTAAAATTGCCAGTGAAACATGCTGTCTCATTCTAAACGTCATATTCGGTAGGTCGCAAACGTATTACTATACGCGACACGACGTACCGAATAAAAAAAAAAAAAATCAACAACGTGTTTAGAATCGAACATTGTATCCTTTCAAACTCAATGCACCGACAAACCATTTAACTAGAGAGAACGTGCTTAGGCGGCACATCGTGCAATTATGGTGTTCCATTGGTGCATACGATCGATGGCAGACGATTCTACGTCGATTACCTCAAACGTTCTCGTTACTATCTATCATCCTCATTTTCTCCGTATTCGTAATATAATTGCAATAGTTTTTAATTGAATCATATATTAGAAAAAATTCATAATGAAATTTGCCAAAGACCGTATCCGTTACCCTGATCGAACTTTCCAATAATCGATTATTTTTATATATTATTCGTCCTCCATTTATTAATATCACAGAACGAAGTATTTTTCAATGAAATTGGAATCGATTGGAAACAAAATTTATTCTCTAGCCGGAGACATTTCTATTTAACTCTTTTAATCAATATATATTTTCTAATACTTAACTAAATTCGTTCTGTCTCCGACGAAAGGTAGATGAATGAAAAGAAAAACGAAAAAGGAGGAGAAGGAGGAACTGGGGCCCACCGTGTTAGCAGTAACGATTCGCGCGTATCAATATCGCACGCGATTTGTTAATTAAACAAAAATTCATGTTAGTCAAAGCCCCGTTCAACTCGTTAATAATAAAAAAAAAACAAAAAAGGAACAGAAGAAAGATATCAGGCTTTCTCGTTAGTAGTACGACGACGCGCAGAGCTTCTTCGTTCATTCGCACACGCTTCGTTCACCAATACATTCAATCACAATGCAGTAATCTCTAAAACGATAATTAACCGTTAATCTCTATGAGAAAAAAAAATTAAAAAAAAAAAAAAAAAAAAAAAAATGAAAGGCCACACGAGCAACACAACACTCTTCTCTATTTGTTAATATTAAAACACTTACTGAATCTTCTTATAAGATTTCCGGTGAAGGAGTCAGCGACGGGAGCAGTGTTATCCTCGCATCTCAGGTCGCAAACGGTAGTACCATCGGTTTTCTGGTATTTCAGATTGGGCACGGATAGCAGACGTCCCTCTCTCTTACTCTGTATCCCCATCACTATCCTCTTCAATCGTGGCTTTCGATCATTCTCGTGCAAGGACAATTCTAATGGTCTAACGGCCATCGTGTTCGTAGTAGTACTCGCCAGAGTACTCGTAGTAGTACTACTACTATTACTACTACTACTACTACTCGTAATATTCGTTGTCGTAACGTTAGTTGTTCCTGTTTCGTTACGTTCAACGTTTTGTCTCTCGTTTTCGCTATCCGCGTTTTTCGTATCACGATGACAAGAAGAACCTTGAGGACTCTCGCGACCCGAGGTATTCGCACAGGGATGCTCGTCCTCCTCCTCCTCCTCCGTCTCAAGACTTTCGACCGGGGAAAGGACTCTCGAGGACTCGTTGACGTTGCAATAAAAAACGGAAGAACTCTTCTGAGTAGCACTCTCGTTCCCTACCTGCTGAAAATGGGGGAGGGAGGGGTACTCGTATGAACTTTCGCTCAATCTACCGGCCCGTTACGACTGAACTCGTTTAATGTAGGAATGACCACCAAGCTTCCTTGCTATATACGTATATATCTGTTTAGGTGTATCAATTAATTCGGTGCGACGATTATTCGTTCCATCAATAATTGCCAAATTTTTACGTCAAGGAATTCGGCCTATTTTGCCTAAAAAAAAATAGATCAGACTCGTCGAAAATAATGGATACTATTTCGTAAAACTAATATTACGTTTGTTAAAATGGCATCGAATTAATGAACACCTATATAGATAGAAAGAGATACCCCAACACACCCCTCGTATATACGTCTGACACAGTGGCAACCCACTTTGCACCGCTTCTTTCAACAGCTAGTTAGAAGATCCCGAGAATGAATCGACACGTGGCGTGAACAAGGTCGAGATAATTGACAGCGATGGCCTTGAAAAGTAGACGCTACCGAAATTGGACAGTTGGAGGATGAGAGAAGAAAGAGATAAAATGAAAAAGAGAAGAAGAAGAAGAAAAAGATAAAAAGAGAGAAAATTGAGACGGGATAGACGGGAAATACGATTTCGTCGTACGGTAAGATGATTTTCCGTCGTGTAAGCGCATCTTAATAAGAACATACAAGTACCCCATTCTGAGATGACACCAAGGACGACGCAAATGTATTCTTTATCTTGAGATCGACCTTGCTGAGTTGGCGTTTAAGACGAAAACCCTTCCAACCATGATTCTTCGGGCTATCCTCGCCATTCGATGTTGTTGAACTTCCAAAATGGGATTTGGCCGAGGAGCCCTCGCTAGCCGATTCCTCGGTCAATTTTTCAATCGCACAACTCGAATCACGTGGCGATGCCCGCTGGTATTGTGAATGTTGCTGTTGCTGTTGTTGCTGTTGCTGTTGATGATGAGAATCTGGTAGCAGCATCGTTAATACTGGCTCGCTCTCCCTCGTAGCTTCCGGCTGAGTCTGATGGATTCAACATGTTGGGCTTTGTACAATTAATCGGTTCATTAGGTGGAAAAGACAGAACATTCGTTCTACGACTAAAAGCAGGCACAATCCAATCGTATTATGTGTAGCGGGTGGTCTCTTTTTTTTGTTTTGTTTTATTTTATTTTATTTTTTTCGCTCCCACAGTTTAATCACGCTTCAACGAGAAAGCCGCAACGATTTCTACTTATTGTTAGTTAGAGAATTGAAATGTGCTTCCTTATACTTGTTACCGGTGTGCTAATCGATATATAATCGTTGGACAAACGCGAATACATGTTCTTTTTTTTTCTCGTATATATATATATTATAATTTCGTATCACGCTCTGTGGATTTACTACTATATATCGGATTATGAGGAATAATTTGTCTTTTTCTTTTCAACATTCCATCCAGAAAGAAAGAAGCATATCATTATTATTGTATTTTCAATTGCATTTTGGTGCACCTTTAAATACACGTTTGTAAAATATATAACAGTTTATACATTTTATATTGAAATATTGAAAAGGAAATTAAAAGCAACGCCACTAGATTCGATGAATTTTTGTTAGATACACTCAACATTTGAAAAGTGTTGTTTTGCGGGTATAATTCGCTATTTGCTATGACTTAAAAACATCACACACATGTCACTTTTAAAACCACACTGAAAGCCGCGTGAAATTCCTAAAGAGAGATTCTTCTATCGGATTAATATAATAAGTTTTAATATTTTGAAATGATACGCAATTAGTAATCAATATGGTAGGTACTCGACGTGTTATGCTATTCGAACGATTAAACTCAAAACGTTTATGAAATAATTGGAAACTAATTGCAAGACTTTTAAATGAAAAAAAAAAAAAAAAGAAACAGAAGAAAAAAAGACGAAGAAGAAATGATAAAATGAAAAAGAATATTGCAGAAACGTGGTCACTTGTCACTTCCCAGTTTAGTTTGTTACGATAAGGAATTTGCATTCGAGATATCTAGATAAGACCATGAGCAAAGAATATTCGAGTAATAAATTCAGCGAGACGATGTTTCTGATTACCATAATTGCTTAAGATGCTCGTAAAATTTTCTATAGTATTAGAAATCGGCATATAACGATAAAGAATTATTCAAGATTCTTCGAGTAATACGTATCCCCATTACGGAAAGCAATATATAGTTTCGTCTATCAAATAAAAATGTTCACTTTTCTTGTAAATACTTTGTAAAATATTCAAATATACAAAAGAAATAATCGTACGATTCGATATAAAAAAAAAAAAAAAAACAACCCCCCAAAAAAGTAATCTAACGTAATTTTAAATGTATAATATCTATTAGGTTGTAAACGTTAATTTCTGTCGTTTTTAATATTTTTCAAATGGATTCTGTTTTCCAATTTAAAGTAACTCTAAAGCCGTTCGAGCTGGATTTTCGTCGAGCAAAAGCACGTGCCGGAAGAAACAGCTTATCGCGGTTTACTTTCAATCGACTGATAAATAAATCTCTTTGACGTCGAGAAATCTAAACCATGAAAACTGAATCCGTCTAACTTCACCCATTTCTTATTAACGAGAGACAGGAATTTCATTATCCGCCTAATATTTTAAGAATAACTTTAAAACGTTTCTAATATAAAATTGCATTTCAAAGAGAATGTCAATTTTGTTTCATTTTATTTATCGAACAATTATAAGCATGAGATCAAGACAGTAGATAAATAGGATTTAAGATGAACATTTATGTACGTTTATAATATGTATAAAACATATATTAGATATAGATGTTATATACATATGTATTGAAGGTGCAACACGAGAGTAATGAATTTAATCATTTTTTTTTTTTTTTTTTCTTAACAAAGGAGAACAAGTAACAAATACATTTTGGATAAATTAATAAGTTTTACAAAAGTAAACATTTACCAACACGAAGAAGAGTAACCAATTAATGTTGATGTGTGCAAATATGCATTATATATGTAATGAAATAGTTGCATTTTTCTTTAACTACATGAAACTTTAATTCGGTAAAGAGGAATAACAATGGCAATAATAGGAGATAAATAATTATAATTATCATCGACGACATATAAATGTGAAAAATTCGGAACGTCTAAGGGGTACAAAATATTACTGTCATTGATATGATATAAGAAACGATAGTTATAATTGTGTTAACAGGAAGAAAATTGATAAAATAAACGATCCTACTAGGGATATTTTCCATTTATACCTAGAACAACGCAACCACCTGCAGTTCCCATCAAACTCACAGATAAAAAACACCATGTTAATCGTGTAATATGTGTGAATGTATGTTTGAATGTGTTAATACGTATCTCCACGTATTGTTGCAAAGTGCATAATATAATGTCGTGCATGCAATTTTTATCTCATATATAATATAAAAATTTGAACACAATGCATCGAGTGTGTTCACTGCATATATCGAATCTCGTCTCATTTCGTATACCTAATTCTTACCACTTTTGATTAAATGACCGATACAAAATTAGATTATTATACTAAATCACAATGGCAAATAATCACATAATCTTGTTTTAAGAAATAAACGTGCATGCAAGTAAAAAAGAAAATTCGATCAAACGTACATCGTACGTTTGTGAAAACCAATAAAGAATTTCGAATTTTAACGCGGAATATTAATTATATATTGTTGTACGTTATGGCAATAATACTTTTTTCTAATATTTAGGTTTTGTTTTTACAATTTTAGCAGCGACTCTATATATATTGGCCCTTTTTGTGCACAAATTTAAATTTCTACATATCCAACATCGATCCAATCACTTATAATATACCATAGACCGAACTACGATTAATATTGAACAACTCACTACCAATTAAACTACCTAAAAGGATAAAAAAAAAAGTACGTCTGATATTACACGATATAACTGAAATAATTTCACATAATAATATACTTAATCACGCGAATATATTTATATAAGTGTCTAACAATCCGTTTAGTTAAAAAAATGTTGGCCTTACTTGTTTCAATGTGGGTAGGCACATAGTAGTTAGCTAAACATTAAATACATAAATGTATCATACATAAGCGCGACCACAGGACACATCTTTCTTATAAGATTACATATATATTGTATATAAAAAAAAAAAATAAAAAAAACTAAAGAAACCGGCAACTTTTAATTTCAATTAGTATCGTTCATCTATTATCAAAGGTATGTATCGTGTTAGTTAATTTTTTTACATACCATACAATGCGTGTCAATGGTATGATATGAGACATTGAAAAAAAAAAAAAAAAAAGAAGAAAAAAACGATAAAAAAAATACGTACTAATGATTATTAACTTGAATAAATATCGACGCATGGAAAATGACAAGTTTGACCAATATCGCTCGTGCAATTCTCAATTAGATCTTTGATCAGCAACGTTAGTAAACTATATCATCGTGTTGGATCGAGTTTTTACTTATATATAAAATACATTTAATTATTCCCTTTTCTTAATATTATATCGCGAAATTTATATTTAATATTATACCTATTCGATGGGCATACTTTTTTTTCCAATTAAAAGAAAAATCAATTGTAATATTCGTACGCGCGTAGTTTTTATTCTGCAAATAATTATGTTACGTAATTTCTTGGATGTTTATTTTTCTTTCATAGAACTACCACCCCATCCTATTATTGCGAAATACATTAAAACCTTCCTTGCGCAGCGTGTTTTCAAATATTTAATTATTTAACAAATATCTATATGGTACTCGCGCGCGTATTTAAATATTTTCATGAAAATATTTCATATTTATAACAAATAAAATATATATATCAACAGAGAGATAAAGAACCTAATGAAGGAAAATCTGTATTTTTTAATGATCAAAATATATATATATATGTACTTGTGAAAGTTTTAGCTCGTATGTTTTTTATTATGGTTACTTGCAAATAATGCATAATGCCAATAGTTTATTGTGAAAATAGCTATTCAACTTTTACTATCGAATTAGATATTTTTTTTTTCTATCTAACATATCTATGTTATTAATTGTACGCGTCAGGGTTTATATTGCTTGGTATTTTAGGCGGTAAGATTTAAATTTCGTATATTCATGCATATCACACGGTACTAAAATTAATTTCGGCTATAAAAGAAAACGCAAGCTATAATAATAACGTATTTATATGAGAATGCTCGATAAACGTGCGAAAAATGCACGTTAACGATTATATGTACATATATAATAAATATATATATATATATAAAGAACACCTACGCATAAAAAGTTAGTGGAAAAAAAAAAATGAAAAAATTAAATCGTTTCTCGACATATGTATAAAACAAATTCAAGCGATCTATTCTTATTATCGAAAAAAATAGTATGCCGCATTAAATGTTAACTATCCTCTCTCTATAAAAAAAAAAAAAAATAAAAAATCTGTATGGTCAGCTTATACGGAAATTAGACAATCATGCAATGATAAACAATTTCAGCGATGGTATTATTTAAACAAAAGCAAAATGCAAAAACGTCCAGGATTTATAGTTCCAAGAAGTTTTTGTTAATTGGTTTGGTTTCTTTTTTTGTTGTTAAAAAAATAGGGCGGTAGGACGGTGGAAAAAAAAGAAAGAACCGATAAATCTAAATATCATTTGTAACATTTAAGAAAGAAGTACATTTTACCTGATCTGCACTCGGGCTCCTCGCTTTATCTTCGTTTTCTCGCTTGGAGTCATCTTGCCGCTTGGGACTTCGTAGAACTCGTTGGTAGGGATCACCGCTTCCACCAAGGTCTGTTGTATGCAACACGATCAAAGTGATTTTCTGCACGATATCGATTATTACTAACCCTGTCTCGTTTCCATAGGCCATTCTGAAATTCACCAATTCCACACCAAATTTACGTAGTTGACTTTCTTTCTTTCTTTTTTCTTTTTTCTTCTTTTCTTTCATATCAACTGAATTTTATTACAATATCGAGAGAGAGAGAGAAAAAAAGCTATATATATGTGTGTGTAAGAATTCAATACCTTCTCTTATTAATACATGCAAAAATAATTCTTATGCGATAATGTACGTTGTGCAAATTTAAACGATCGTTAAATATTAACGAGAAATATCAAAAAGATTGATAAAAAGTGATAGATTATTAAATAAATAAAAAATATTTGTGAAATAATAGTAATAATTAATCGTATACATACAATCCGTAGGATGAATTTAAACTGAGGGCTGTTATGTTTTCAGGTTGTTCTCCGCTCGGTGCGATAGTTAAACAAATCAATGTTGCTTGAAAACCGGCAGCACGTTTTTGCAAACCACTTTTAACTTTCAACGGATGATTATATTCCGACGTGTGTTTAGATTCTCCGGTTGAAGTAACATTTCCCGTCGCTGGCGCATCATGTTCCGGTGAATTTTCTGTTTCTCTCGCTAGATTTTGGCTCAATGGTACTTCTAATGTCTAAACCGTAAACCACCAAGGTTGATCTTTCAGAAACGTCATGATACATTTTTAATCTTACAAATATTCTAATGTTAATATTCCTACGTGATAATATTATTTTAACACAGGTAATATAATAAATAATGTAATATTATATATATATATATATAATACTCACGACTACTTCCGACATACTTTCGGCTTTTTTAAATTTAAACAATACAACGTATTTTCCCGAGCCAGCGATCGCCAACTTTCGACTTTCAGGACAAAGGTAAATGAGTTGTATCGCCAATGGATCTTCCTCCGAGTCAACGCTTCTGGCTCTACTCTTTTCAAAAAGTTTCGCCGTTTTCAATTTGTAAAGAACTTGTAACGTACCGGCAGAAGCGTCCCAAAATTTTATACTACCATCCGCGTGCCTGTTCAAATTGATATTACGTCAAATTTTAATTGATAAGAATATATTAATGAAAAATTCTTCACGAATATATAATGATGAAAGAACTCGCCCTGTGATAATAATTTCATTGTAACTGCTCGAACTAGAACTCCATTCTCCGCCCGAGATCGGCCATTCTTTTTCGCTAAATCCAGTTTTCTTTTGCGATTTGGATCCAACCGAATAAAATGCAGGTACCAAATCCGAAGGACAATCGGCAAAATACGCGCAACAAGTTACGGGAGATTCGTGTATGTCCATTGGATATGGATTTTCGAAACATGGAAATCCTGATGTTAACAAATCGATGATCACGAGATCGTTCTGTAGTAAAACCACAACAGCGTAAGGATCCTGGAAATCTGCAACGAAACACAATCGGCAATCGTTTCATTAACAAGACTGGAAAAATTTTATTAAATGCGATCGCTGTAATGAATTATTTAAAAAAAAAAAAAATAAACCATTAAAATCAAATGATATCACGTACCACTTGTCCAAGGACTATCGCAAAGCGTTATAAAATCTACAACATTGTGCTCCATTTCTAAAACAGTCGTGGTTTTTCCGTGTATAACCGTAATACTAGGTGTCCTTCCAGTTGTGTCGTACGCTAGACCACCGGAAAATATGACGTACGCCTCCCTATTATAAATTACACAATTGACGATGATCTAATTTGTCGCAAATGAAAAAAAAAAAAAGAACAAACAATTGTTAAAGAATAATCGTATAATTACGAACCCGGATCTTGACACTTTCCATTCCACTTTTTGTATAGATTTACAGGGTTCCGGTTCTCCCTCTTTGGTAGCTTTCGCTAAATAACAAAACAAATTGTTGCTAAATGATTCGACGATTTTAACGAAGTAACGATGAGAAATAATTATATAAAAGGGAAAATAAATGGACTAACGCGAAATAACTGCAATGCGAGAATATATAGACATATATATCTATATATAGGGTAAGTATTGTCTGACATATCCGATAACACAATTATGAGCATAGAGAATCTAAGAGAGAGGATATTGACTCTCACCGTGTGGATGCGTGACATTTGTTGGCTTTAATTGACGCACCGTCCAAGTCAATAGCGAACCATCGTTGTGACTAGACATAAATTGTTTGCCTTCGTGATGCCATGTTATTGATTTCAAGGGTTCGTCGCTATGACATCTGTAATCCGCGCTCTTCGTTTTCAAATCCCAAAGGACTATCTGTCCACTCTCATATCCGATCAGCATCTGAAAACAAAAAGTTCCGAACTGCGATGGCGTGTACGAGACATAAAGCGGCAAAAAGGTCTTCTTGCCCGACAAAAGACACGCATAATGACGGATTTTTAATGATACATACTATTTCTTGCGATTGTTATATATTTTTATATATATATATAAAAATATATATATATATATAGATATGTATATATATCATGATAGTCTGAAAATATGTCTCGCAACAAAATGCATTCTGCATACACATAATGAAAACGCATATGAAAACTGTGATGAATGAAAAATGCGTATGTGATGATAGTATCCCACGAGTTCTCTCTCTCTGCAAAAGATTACTCTGTAATTTATAATAATCGGTAGTAATGATAGCAACAATAATAATGAAGATGACAATAGTAATAATAATAATAATAATGATAATAACAATAAGAATAAGAAGAAGAATATTAATTACATTTACTGTTAAACAATGACTACTGTGATTCATACTAATTTGTAAGTTTTGCGACTTTCTTACCGAAAAGATAAGATTATGATCGATGTGGTATAATAGTTTTTACGAATTATCAAGCTCCACGTATAAGATCGTGGCCCATAGTGTCATTAACAAACAAGAGTTCAATTTCTACGACCTACTGGTCTGATATGGAGGCTTTTTACACTGACGTTCTCGAGCTAATCTATAGATGAATCATTTCAATTCTATGTCAGATAAATAAAATGCTTGGATCATCCATGACTACTTTAATTGATTTATTATACAAAAGATCTTCGAACTTTCGAACTTAATTACTGATGCTCGAGAAGGGGTATTCATCATGAATAATACATTCGTGTTGTTATCAAACTGAAATGAAATCTAATCGTAAGTCAAAATTGATAGCAATCAAATTACTGAATTGTCTGGAAAAATATTTCACACTTTAAAAAAAAAAAAAAAAAAAAAAATAAAAGAGAAAAATATGAACCTTGGAAAAATATACATTATCGTTTAATTAAAATTTAGCGAAACGAATTCTTTTTTCCAGACAATCTGAAAAAAAGATAAATAACAGAGAAAATATATCTCAACCGAATGCACGAATCGATCTTCATGTAGTAAATCCGATGTAGGTTAACTCGTTAAAATAATCTTAAACGACGTTGCTATCTACCCAAGGTTGTAATTGAGATTTTATAACTACCATAGATCAACATAAACTTAACAACAGTAGAGCATACTCACGTATCGAACAATTATTTATCAGAATCATAACTGGATATCAAATTTGTCTGTACTTTAAATTATTATTATCGCTCGTTTCTCGTTTAATTGCATTTCGTCAAAATACACAACAATTTTTCAATCATAATTAATAGGGATTCGTCGGAATTATCGATACAAACTCTTGGTGTCTGTAAACTTTCTTTTAATGTGTATAATGTATATATATATCGTTGTTTGTAAAACGCTTTTTATTTACATTTAACACGTACACGTGCCTGCCGACAATATTAAGCCTGAAATTAGCAACGACAAAATACAATGAATAAAATAAAATATTCATACGCTATTTAAAATCGAATAACTCTTTTGTAGAAATTAATGCTATATCGATATAATAAAGCAAAGAAATAAAAATCTTATTTCCTTTTAGTAACTAATAATTAAATAAAAATTTCTAATGTAAACAATATTTATCGTAAAATATTTTTGTCAAGTTCGGTTAATAAAATGTTTTCATAAAAATTGATATACCGTATAGATCTGTTTAATCTATTCTACATTCTGTAAATATAATCCAATTCGATCGTTCACTAGAACGAGTTATACAATTTTAAAGATCTATAAAATGGCTATTATATTACTACTGTATAGTAAAATTCGACACTTCAATACTACTTTAAAAAAGATTTTTAAATATGTATAAATCGTTCTAGGATTGACCGAGTTTGATGATATTTACAGGATGCATAAAAGGCAAATATACAAAATGCAAGTATATAAAAATCTACAAAATGTATAATATATATTCGCTTTTATGAAAAGAAGCTTTTTATAAAGAATTATTAAAATGTATTGTCCTTTTTCTTTTATTTATGATGTACATCATATTACACACGAAGAATGTTTTCATTCCTATTGAAAAATTTGGATCTCTTTTTTTTCCCCGATTTGTATAAAGTTCTTTGATTTGCAAATAGCATGGGAATATTTTTCGTATTCACTGTATATTATAAGCGAAGGTATGACAAGTAGCATTACATTCGAAATATTTACATACGTACACATTATCCGACAAACGATTATATTTTCGACAAAGAAGAACTTACGATCGTTGCAAGGAAAATATTCTACGATGATAAATTGATAAAGTATGATATAACTCGATTTACAATTGCAATCCGTAAGTTCGGATAGGTATAATCGTTAAAAAGTATGACGTTATAACAAAAAAAAAAAATCGGTTAGAAATTTATGGTAGTTCGACCGTCAGCCCTTCTCGATCTTCGATTCCAACTGGCTTGGAAATTTAGATGACTCTGCATTTTTACGGCTCCTTGCTTGCTTTTCACGAAAGAGAAAAGAAAAAGGGAGGAAAAACAAAATCAATTGAATCGTCATCAACTATAAGAGGGATCGAGAAAAGTTGCGTCTAACGATGATACATAGTTTTCGTTAAGGAAAAAAGGCATCGTTTAGTATAAAATTCATCGATACGATCAACAATTATTAAAGCATGCACGCATGCACACACACCAACATGCAAGCACACACTTCTGCCACTTAATGGGATTTTAAATACAAGACATTCGTCAAGAGAAATAGAATTGAATAGAATAGAATAGAAATTTGTAATAAGAAGAAGAAGAAGAAGAAGAAAGAAAAAAGAAGAAAAAAAAAGACGAAAAAAAAATTCTGACTAGACACTTTGATAAATCGCGGTGATTGGTCTTCGATCATAAATACGTCAAATTATAAATATAAGAATCGTAATGAGAGGATCGCACAATCGGTGTTTCTTTAATGTTTTGTAAAAAGGAATCTTTAGTTTTGAAATACGAGAAAAATTATCCGTTCTAATAAAAGTTTTGTCTTCTAAGATTCTCTATGTGCAATCCTTCGTTCTAAAGTTAGGTCAGAGAGAGAGAGAGAGAGAAAGAGAAAGAGAAAGAGAAAGAGAAAGAGAAAGAGAAAGAAAGAGAGAGAGAGAATAATGATAATAGAAGTTTTTCTTGCATTCTTACCCCGGTAATCTGAAATAGCACGAATAACGACGCGTCACTTTCGTTAGATTCGTTCTAAATTTTTCTATGTTCAAATACTTGGCGGACGATCACTTTTAAGTCGAAGTTTGTTTTCTCAAAAAGTACGCCATAAATCACACTTTTTCCGGATATGAAAAAAAGAAAAAAAAAAAAAAAGCTATGCGAAACGATCGACAATTACCACGAGAAGGTATTAAATGTAACACCATGGCAGATATTCAAAAATGTATTCCGCCCACGTATTTATGATCCAAGAATAATGAATACTGCCTTTTTTTTACATCTTACACATAAAAAATACAACCTATCTTTTTTTTAATAGATATATATATATAATATATATTATATATATATAAGTATATCAAGTGAAAAATATTATTATGGTATAAAGGATGGATAAATAATGCAAAAGAAACGTACTCAAAAGCGCGCGTACCTTGCTCAAATCTAAAGGATTATCACTCAAGTGTACTACAGCACCAGGATGGGTCTTTCTAGATCTGAAAAATATATATATACATACATGTGTATAACATTATTCTTGCCTTGTTTCCTTGTTTGTTTTTTTTTCTTTTTTTTGGATAGGGAAGAGGAGAACAATTTCTTTCTTTTTTTTTTCTATTTGATTTACCATAAAATAAAGATATACATTAAAATCCGTTCCATTTTCATATTAGTGTGAGCAAAAAAAAAGAAAAAGAAAAAGAGGTTTGTGATCTATTACATGCTTATATGCCTTTATAATAATTCGTACTCTCTCGTCTAGTTTTTCTTTTTTCGTTCTTATCACACGTACGTCAAGACGTTCAATCTAATGCACCTGCGGGCATAACACCACAAAAAGTAAACACAACGATAATCAGGAGAGGCAACGGAGTAGTTAATCACTGGAGCTGGACGACGTTCAAGAATTTATTGACTATCCCCGAACACCGTCGGCCAAAACTTCTTTCAACTTCGCTCTTTAAAACCGTCGATTATAATCAAAGTGTAAAAAAAGAAGAAGAAAAAGGAAAAAAAAAAAGAATCGAAATCGATACGAGCTGTAATAAATCTTCTCGCTTAAATCATTTTGAAAAGCAAGGATGTAAAAGGAAAGAATCGCAAAATCATTATCGTTCACACTCGCATATACAAACAGGGATTGATTGGTGGGTAGTGGTGGTGGTAGTGGTGGTGGTGGTGGTGGTAGTGGTATTTGTGCATTCTCAAGTTTTCAATTAATATCCGTCATTTGTTCCATTTGAAATATTGGCCCACAGAGAGAGACTAAATTCGATGGCCCATATTCAAAACGCCATTGTTCGACGATAACAACGGCCCGTCGCGCCCTTTTGCTTTTCGTAGGTTAAAGAGCCGATTCTTCTTATAGGTGTACGTACGTACCTGACATCGAAGATCTTGAAAAACAAAAGGGTTCTCTAATAGCTCTAAAGAGGGCGTTCTGAATACAGGCCCTTTACGTTTCTCTTCCCTTTTGCATGCATATTCATCATATAACACGAAATGGCAAACGGAAAATCGAGGGTTCGTATTAACGACAGCGGCCCATTCTCTTTTGTGTTATTTTCTCTTCTCTTCTATTTTTTCTTTTTTTTTCCTTTTTTTTCATTTTTTTCCCTTTTTTTTTTTTTTTTTTTTAAGTATTGAGTACTGCGCGACACCCATCTTCATACGACATACCTATACTACTCAATACGGAGGAGTAAGAGTACTATCTGTAATCTTACTCTCACACCCTTTCTTTCTTTCCTTCTTTCTTTCTAACAATAAAAGTACCTTTTCTTTTTAAGCATGACCGTACAAGGTGTTACACAATCATCATTTGACTATCGCGAAAAGCATTAGCTTATCGTGGTTACTAATCAAATTTTAAATATAAAACACTCTAAGTTTTATTTATTGTAATTATTATATTAAAATAGCACAATGTGCACACATTATATGAATTATCATTAACGATGATATACAACGAATTGAAAATACGCTGTAAAGAAAATATTTCGCGCGTTGGATTTATATAGATCGAATGTGATATTTTTGACACATTCATGGCCTATAAAAAAAAAAGGAAATAATCAAATGTTAATTGATTACATTTTATATAACTAATAGCACCTGGCCACTCTGGTACCAGTTAAATATCCGGATACAATCCATCACTGGTGGCACATTGTGATATCATCTCGCAATCAGTCGCGACGCGCCATTACCGTACCATTCATGTAAATCAAAACTATATAATAATACGTGCTTGTTGCACGATTTACTACATTCGATATCTCAATTAGCACAACAAGTTGTTAGCTTATAAATTTTAGATGTAGGTACATCGTATAATATATTAAAAAAGGCCACAAAAAAAAAATATATAGATATATATATATATATATAACTCGTGTGGCTTAAATCGTAATACCCGATTTCCTTCGGCATTGGTGTCACGTTTTCAAAAACAAAAGAAAAAAAGGAACAAAAAAAAACAGACAAACTAGGATACGCATCTCAGCGAATAATTTATGCATTTATAAGTACTTACCTAACGCATCAAGGAAAGAAAATGATCAAAAATTAGTTTGGTAGGCATTCGTACACTGCCTTCTCTCGCTTTGCAAACAACGAAACAGAGATTCGTGTCTAATGAGATATCGGCATCATCATCATCATCAATATTACGGAGTGTGATCGGAGAAAAAGGGTTGGAAAAAGGTTGCCGTTTTGTGTGCTGTGTGCGTGTGTGTATATATATATGTGTGTATGTGGAAGAGGAGGCCTAATTTGCGACGATCGCAACGGTGTATTATATATATGTGGTCAGTTAAACGCGTCATTACTGTCTAACTCAATGATTTTCCATACTTACACTTCAATAGCCTTGTTCCAATTAATTACGTATCCGGATAGAACGAACGTTTCGATGTGGAGTATGTGAATATTGCCACGTTCGGTACCGACATAAAGCCATTTGCTCTGAAGCGGCAGATGGATGCAGGTTATCCTATTTGAGAGAGACAGAAAATAGAGAATTTCGAATGATTCGATTATCATGAAATGTACGATGTCACTCGATGACATCCGACCGACTTGATTTATCACGCTAAATATATATATATATATATATATGTGTGTATATGTTTTATGATCTATGATAAATATCTGATAATATATTAGATATATAGCAGAATGGATACTACGAATAAGAAAAGAAATTTGACTGACCTATCTCGTTGAAACTTCAGACTCTGCACTACCTGCGGTATCTTCTGACGAAAGTTCCATAGATGAAGAGTGTCGTCGGTTGTAGCAGAAATAAGGGCACCCTCGTTGATCAGGAACTTCAACTGCATCACCGCCGTACACCCTTCGTGTTTTACGTGAGCGTCCACGCCTGGTCTGCCCAGACTGAGATTGCGTGATACGATTCTTTCAGGAAAATACTCAATTGCCTTCCGACTTTTACTTCGTTTAAATCGAACTTTGATAACATATTTTGACCTCGATCCACGATACTACCTATTTATACGTATTTCGATTTCTCCTTTTAATTCTTGCTCGAATATTCGAATATTACGAAGAACACAACAATGCACATTTCGCATGAAATACGAAGTAATTATGAATATCTGTATACCTATATACGAAAAAGAAATTCTCAAATATTCCAAGTTAAGCAAACGTTTAGTATTTCGTGGAATTTCCGTGTCTGAAAGCATCGGTCCGCGTGAACAGTTTTGTCTGGTGGAAGGGGGGGTGGAGAGGCAGAAGGGTGTTCTCTCTTTCAGATAGTAACATGCGATAAAAGTCAAAGGAAAGAAAAAAGAAGAGTGTAGGAGGTATAAAGAAAGATTGTGTTCTTCGTATCGAGCGTGAATTCGAGTTAGGATAGGCTAGCTAGAGTTAGCCAGTAATCTCGATAGTCGTGATAATAGCACCTTTGGAGGAAAGCCTAACCTCGAAGAGCTCCTATATATATATATACTATGTACGTGTCTGATAAATAGAACTCGACGGCCACGGTAGCCGCAATTGTCCACTATATGTCTGCGTCAAGCATCAGTGCTGAGTAGAGAATTAGTAGGATCGAGAAAGAAAAAATAGGATAGTACGAGTTTGCTATATAGTCTCATTGGATCTGACCTCTTACTCGATATTTTACTCTAAATAAAAAAATATCTAACCATTATATGTATATATGTAGACCATATTTGATGGTAAATACGTAACGTATATATACATACACGTGTGTAAGTATATAGAGCATACGTAAGAAAAGATAACACTTCGTTCTGCATATTCATCAAATTCAACAGGCGTAGTTGGGTCAAAGCAATTACAATTGTTTTATCGAACGTAACGTTTAGGCGAAAAATAAAATGCAACTTTTTCGCGTCGATTATATACCTACTACGTCATTTTGACTACATCGTTTGTCCTTTTCGTATTTAATTCCTTTTAAGTAAACTGCAAGTTTAAACTGTCTTAAGCTTTTTATTTTGCAACTTTTTCAATGATAACGAATGTAAAGTAGGAATAATAGATAAAGAGCGGATGAACCTTTTTTTCTCTAACGTAATCCGGATTGTCTTTGCGAATAAATCGTGTCGTTATTATTACGAAGGTAAAAACTACGTTGTGTTCGAGCATCATGTTCCATTACTTACGTTCAAACGATATTCTCGCGTGGTACAAAGGAAAGACCGAGGTTGCTACACTCATCTTAAAAATAACGTTTAACGGACGTAAGATGCGGAAGTTCAAATGACCCGAACGGCGTTATGCAAAAATTCAATAATCCGTTTTTATAATCCTAAGAATAAAATGAAAATGAAAAAAGATTTTTCTCAGAGTTGAGTTGAGATAAAATTGAAATTTCTCGTTTAATTGATCGTTGTCGTCGGTATATATGTTACCGTCAAAGTCGGAAATCAGTCATTGCTAGTAATTCCTCGGCATTACTATGAATGTAAAGAGCTTTCAGACGAAGTCGGAAATAAGACTTTTTGGAGAGTTTTTCCTAGGCATCGAACATAATACTTTGATATCCTATAGAATATCAAATTACTATTTAAACAACGTTGAAAAGAATACATCTTCGGGTCAGGCACACACATTATGTTCGATGCCTAGGAAAAACTCTCCAAGAAGTCTTATTTCCGATTTCGTCTGAAGGCTCTTTGCATTCATAGTAATGCCGAGGAATTACTAGCAATAACTGATTTCCGGCTTTGACGGTAACATATATAATACATATATACACAATTTCAAACAGCGCAAACTATGTATCTCTCAAAGGGGAGCAAAGTATATTAACTTTGAAGCTAATAAACATGTTACACGTATACCGTCGTAAAGTACACTACTCGTTCCCTTTGCGAAAACCAGTTGATGATAATTGCCATATCATGAGAGCTACCACGCTTACAACCGCATCGTTATCGTCACCCGTGTGTTGACCACGTTGAACAAGATAGGTCAGTGAAAGCAGTCGCATGGAAGGAAGACGCCGAAGAGAAAATGCACGCTCGATGAATGCTGCATTAACCTTGTAGCATAAAAGATTCCTTGACATATCTATACCAAGTTTTAATAATTTCGAGATACAAAAAATAAAAAGTCTGTACGATAAATAACATATGTAATATTAAATATATGTCAATGAATATTATTTTGACGAAATTTTATAAATGATTTATACGCGCTAATTGTAAGGATAACCCACACAAAAAATACGATCGATTAAATGACGAGGAGTTTTAAACACATTGAAGTAATATATTTTACATTTATTTTGTATTATTATCTAAAAATGATTCTAATTATTATTTAATGTCTATATCTACATTGACTATTATCTGTATCTTCGATTGTAAAAAATATAACAGTTATTAAAGACCCGTTAATAAAACATATTTAAATTGTAATGTCGAAATGTTCATATGAATATATATATATATTTAAATAGAACATATCACCGGATACAAACAACACACCTCACAAATGCATTTCCGCCCGACAGATTTATTTATTGTAACCGTTGCAAACGCGCACGGCGCATACGCGGAACCCTCATTATCGTTCCAATGATATCGTGAGATAATTATGCTGCAATTAGCGTAATGTTCCCAGTTGTTATATAATAATTGGCTAAGCAATTGTTACGCTCTTCCGAGATATTCAATTTCAAAGTAAACTTTTCGCAAAATAATGAGAACATTAAATTCAAAACTGATAATTGGTTTTCTTAAAAGCAAAACGAACGAATTTCTCTAAGACTATTTTAAATGACATTTTATATATTATAGGTTGCTTGAAAAATCGTCTGAAATTCAAACTACGAACATCAGTCGTTGTCGTCGGCGAAGCTTCACGATTTAGAACTCGCAGTCACCTTTTCTCCTTGGAGAAAAGCTCGGATTTGGCTTAACGTACCAACGAGTCCGAAGAAGCCGGTTTATCTGAGATATTCGGCTCCTTCCCCCTTTTTCGGTTCATATTTGGATCGGACGTGACGAAAAGGCTTAGATAGGAGAAATTCTCCGTTTAAATTTTTGTTCACCTTTTTTTCCTTTTCTCTCTCTCTCTCTCTCTCTCTCTCTCTCTCTCTCTAATTCGGTACTCCACCCCTTTTCTCCGAGCGATCAATAAGTAACAGTTACGATCGTTTGATATCCCTTTTAAATAAATCACAAATACGACCCAGTTTTAATCATGAGCAAGAGAAACATATATCTTCGTCCAATGCGTTTTATGTTTAAACTACAAAATGGAAAGGGGGCGATGATCATTAGTCGTGCATCTATCTTTAGTACTGAAATTATATATTCATCTCGTTCTTACCTCTCTCCTTTCTAATAAAAGAAGACGTAAACGACGCAAAATGTTTTATCCGATATACGACGCGAGGAGTCTATTCTATAGCTACTTAAATAATACGTGAACAAATTTGACATATACATAAGTAATTAAAATGTATATAAGTATTATTCTTTATATCAAACAAAAAGAAAAGTAGTATATTAAAAATAATCAAATAGAAAGATAGAATGCAAAAAAAGAGAAACGTTTAAGAAAGAGGTCGCGGATTAAACTTGTAACGAATCATCAATTTAAAACGAGTAGCCCATAAGAAGACTTAGAAAAAAAAAATAAGAAAAAAAGAAAAAAATAGAAGAAAAAACCAGTCGATATTAACTAGAAAATAAGAGGTCTCTATCTTGGAGAGAGAGAGAGAGAAAAAGGAAATAGTAAAACGTAAGACACGATGTTGAGGTAACGATACCGTTAAAGGATACATCCTAAGGGATCCTGATTTAGTACCAATCGCAAGGAGCCTTTGAACTGGGTCGAAAGCAACGGCTGTCGGTTGATGTGGAAACCCATGTCTGAATGTCTGAAACATATAAGAGGCATTTGTGTGTTTCATAGCATCTTTTCCGTTTTAGCCGACGACGACGACGACGACGACGACTGGGAAGGCCATTCTCTCGTTTCAACAAAAGAGGTTCTTCCCAGGATGTGCGTGGGAGAGAAAGAGAAAGAGAAAGAGAAATGGATCCAAAGTGAAGGGCAGCAGCATTGTTCGTGCGAGTATATCATCGTCGTATATCCGTGTGTCTTGCTTGTGTTCCGCGTCAACTGGTTGCCATTAATTCTATACCTTTGTCGACGGTGTCGCGTCTACGATGACTACTCCCTACCCCCTACCCTACCCCCTACCTTACCCCACTTCCCAACCTCATCCACTCTTTCGTCATCCTCCTCGGACACGTAACTCTTATGATCGTGTGTAAAACATATATACACTTATACTTTTAAGCGCGCGCACTACTAAACTCGCTCGAATAATACTGAATCAATAAGTTTAGTTCCGACACCGAGCAACGTGGTTTGTCCTCTCGTTCTTTGATGCAACCACATTCTAAAGACGACTATAGAGAATAACAGAGAGAGAGAGAGAGAGAATAAGTGAGTGAGTGAGTGAATGAATAAGTGTATGAATGTCGCAAAATAAAAAGAGAGAGAGAGAAATACGTTTAAAGCTTCTGCTATACACTTCTCTTTCTCTATCTTTCTCTACATCCTTTATCGTAATTCGATAATAATAATCATGATGATGATCATAATGACGATAATGATCTTGATGATTACAAATTAATTGTATTCGTTCGTAATAGTTACTTCATACGGACAAGTTATTTATTTCGATGACATAATCACGATGCACGTTGCAAGTTAGTCAGTTTCATCATTGAACTACGTCAATCGTCGTATTAAAATGTTGTAATTTTTGTATAAATATATTTAGTAGTCAAAGAGAGAGTCTCTTTTTTCTTTAAAAACAAAATATATTTATTACATTTTCATTAGTAAATCTTTCTTTTATAATTCTTTTATACGTACGAATGAATTTGTATAGAATAATCTTGTATAAATATATTTGAAATGTAACTTATATACGCGAATCATAGATAAATGCTTATATAATTCCAAAAAAAAAAAAAGAAAAATATATCATTTAGATATTTGTAGGAAATATTAAAATAAAGAAAACATCTATTTGAAACACACACAGATATACATTCGCGGCGAACATATAAATAAGGTGTGTTTTGTTTTTTGTTATTTCAATCTTTACTTAAAATTTGATATTTCCGATTCGCAGAACGGTGCATTGACGTTTCATTTTATTTAAAAGTTTGCAATGTTCCCGGGGAAACGATGCATTTCCATATCATAACGCTCGAATGTACGGCGTTTCATTACTTGCGATCCACCGTGTTTTCTCTGCTCTCTATCGGCGTTTCCAATATTTTCCTATATAGACGATAACATGGTCGCTATTAATATCAAATGTTACTATCAAAATTTCAATATTGCTCGTGTCTAACGCATGCGAGCGACCAATATATACAGGGTGCCCAAAATGGTTGGGACCAAAGTTTAGATGAACTTGTTTCATCCATTTGACCTAAGTAATATGTGGTACAAGTTGAATCCCAACCTTTTTGGACACCCCGTATGTGTATACTCTCGCAACTATTAAAGGAATAGGAAGAAAGAGAGAGAAAAAATTATGATTCCTTGTAGCGGACGCGCTTGATTTCTCATCGTATCGATTCGAACGTGATGTACGAAAGCTAACTTTTAAACACGAAAAACTGCTAAATAACATAACGGCCCTCTAAAACATTTTTGTTCAAATTAAAATCGAATAGCCGCGTACCTTAACGTATGATACGTTTTCGAAAAATATTCATTTCAAAGATAATTTTTAATTCTACCTATAACCTAGAATTTCGTTAACGCGTACGCGGCTCGGAATGCATCCAGGAATTGTGGGAATAACGTGTGATTAAATCAACGTGGAATGCATTAACGTATAATGTGTAGACGACGTTCGTAGAGTTTGATGAAAATAAATAAATAAATACGAGTTTCTCGACGTAAGTTTCTCGATGTAACACAACGTACATCTCATTTTCATTTAAAAATATCGAAAAATAATTATCACCAAAACAGCGAACATAACTCGATACTTCTACGAGTTGCGTTTGCGAATACGATAGAACTAGATGGTCCTCGTTGTTAAATAGACGTGAAAGGAAAAACGGGGGGATAGGGAGGGAAAGGAAAGGGGGGCAAAAGCACCGGTTCAGGTTAAATCGCGTTGCCCGAAACGGATGTACGCCGAAATCGATTTTGATGCAGTAACGCGGCGGCATGGCCGTACAAAACTGCCCGCGTTCTATTTCACTCTAAGAGATAGAGAGTGATAGAGAGAGATAGAAAGAGAGAGAGGGAGAAAGAGAAATAGGTTAAAATAAAACGATGCGAGAAACTTACGAATGCGGTACCACATCTCTTCCCTACTTCGTCTTGCTATATTACATACGTCCGATTTAAAATCATTCGGTATGTCGGTTTCGTGTATGTTGGTTTTTTCCTGGTCAATTTCCGACATATCCCCTTACGTCCCTTCTTCCCAACGGCTAGGGACCTTAACTTAGGACGACGCTCTCTTAGCTTTACCAAATTTATTTATATTTTTTCTTTTTTAGGGTTGCTCTTTCGTTGTCTCGAAACAAAAAAAAAACAGGATCAGCAAACACAAACGTATATTTATTTATTTTATATTTGACGAAGAAATAATGAAGGGTTTCTTCTTCTTTTTCTTTCTCTTTTGCTCGATAAAAGAATTAACTTTGATGCATCTTATTTGTAAAAACGAAAAAGTAAAAGTCAGAATCACTGAAATAGTGCAAACGATCGTCCATTTCGAATTTACATTAGTGGAACAAAAAAAAAAAAGAAGAAAGGTAAGGTATCATTGGACGATTGTGTGTCGGATTGGATGTACACCGTAACGAACATTTATTAGTTCAATCAAACAAAATCGATTATTCCAATCGCACGTGCTTCAATTAGTTGAGATAGTTAAAGTTCTGCCGCAATATTACATACAGATTGTAAAAGTAGCTTTCATCGGATTGTTACGATAGAACTGGACACTTCGTTGGAAAACGTTGTTCGACATTCCGTAAATGAGTACGAGTTACGGAAATTACACGGGACATACAGAAACGTTTCCCATTAATTCTCTGCACCGTGCCAATTTTGTGAAACTTTCGCGTAAATCGAATTTAAGGATTGCTCGATAAAAAAAAAAAAGAATTCCTTCTCCTTCTTCTTCTTCTTCTATATACGTACATACAGTAATTAAAACTAACGATTTTAGAATATATAAAAGATAACGAAGGAAAAAAGAAAAACAAAAAGATCGTACTCGTATAGAGAAAAATTCTCGTGTAAAGATTATAGAAACGATAGGAAAAACCTGCAAAACCGTTTCCCGTATTTACTTTTGTAAACGGTAAACCTATTGTTTTATTGATATGCGTAAACCCGTTGGTGGCAACAATACCTGTGGTATAATCGTACTATAATGTTATTCCATATCGATCATAATCGGATTTCGGTATCGGTATGTATGTGTGTATGTGTTTGCAAAATTCTTTGAAAAGAATAACCGAAGACAATTATATAATAAGATTTCGAATAATCTCAAGGAAGGCTTGATGCAACATTCGATGAAATTTTTTTCTACAAACAATTTTTTTCCCACGTCAAAAATTAATCTTGCCTGCACTCAATAGGGAACAGTTTCGCCGAAATGAGAATGAACGCACGAGTACGCTTGTATAGATTTGAAGTCATTGTTTCGCCAAAAAAGTACTGCAGTTTTACGCGTCGTTTCCAACATCGAAATGGAATTTTGCCAAGTTTTAGGTTCTGTCGCAACACAACAGTTACGGCATTATTCTTTCTGATTAAAGAACGAGAAGCATACTACGCCACGTCGAGTAGATTAATGAACATTAAAGGATTCAAATTCGATGCTTTTCTTTCTTCTTCCAGATTTCTTTTTTGTTTTTTTTTTTTTTTTTTAATAAGTGAACCAACAACACGTCATTTACTCGCGTTATTCGTTTACACGATTTTTCTGTCACGGGTTAGACGAATTTATGTTATCGTTATCGAATATCATTTATTACATTAATCCGCAATCATTTATTTTCCATTTGAACTAATAAAAACTAAAAGGGGCACTTATTTAAAAAGAAACTTCTCCTATATTTTAAGTCTAAAAGATAGTCTATAAATTGTCCAGAGTATCGTTGGTGATTTCGATCAGTGATTCTCATTCTTTTTCGATTCCCATATAATTCAAGTCTAACTCAAATTTCTTAATTTTATTATAACATCATTTTTAATATAATATAAATTCGCAAATGAAAATAATCCTGTATAATATTGTAGATTAGATTTTGCAAATCGTACGTAATTTATAGAATATCATACTTTGTTAAATAGTTATTCCAATATTCCGTTCCTTAAACCACACAAAATGTCTCCCAAAAGAATAATTTCCCTTTTTGTTGAGAACCTCTATTCTGGAGAATCCGTACATTTGGTAGTTAACTATATACATATCTACATATCTAACGTACACAAGAGACCTACTTACTTCGTATTTCATTATTTTCATACATTTGTATAAAATTAGTTGTATCAAAGCCAGACCTCAACACTTGTCTTACTTCACCCTGACGTATGAACATTTGGACATGCCTTTAACGAGTCAAGGCAGAACATGTACAAGCGTTTATACGTAAAAAAGGAACATCCTTAGGGGAGATCAGAATATTCTTTTTTGACTCTTCAATTTAACTTACAACATAAAATTATTCATATTTAATTCACGACTACTTCGTAAAAGTACTTACGCGATGCAATAGTCATACTTTATATTTATTTTTATTTTATTTTGTTAATATAGTAATAAAGTGTTCCAGATCGCCCAATTTGATTACAATGAAAAAAAAAATATAT